TTTCTTTTTTTTTTTTTCTTTTTAAAAATTTACATCCAAATTAGTTAGCATATAGTGCAACAATGATTTCAGGAGTAGATTCCTTAGTGCTCCTCACACATTTAGCCCATCCTCCCTCCCACACCCCCTCAACAATTTCTAATAAGAAAAATTATTTTTCTTACTCACCTTTTCCAGATCAAGCTCTTTCAAAAGAATACTTGCATTCTTATTTGCTTCTGCAGCCTGTTGGTCTTTAGCCTTCACAATTGTCTCAACACACTGGTGACATTTTTTTAAGAGTTCCTACAGTGGAAAATGGAATAATATAAATATAGGAACACAGAAACAGGCCAAATAAAACTTAAGTTGATAAGCACACTGAAGTCCAGGGCATAAAGCCCAAACAACTGAAATTCATTGAGCCAAATATAAGCAATCCTTTGAGTGTAGTCATGTATCAATCTTTCATGAAAAAAAAAAAAAAGCACTATTTCTTAAAGTTTGTATTCTTAGAGAACTTTCTAATCAAGGTAACAGTCTAGTTATAAATTTTAGCTGCATTCACTGTAATTATAGTCCATAACAGGAAGGAATCCTCAAAATAATTTATCAAAATTATTATATCCATTCTTCATTTGCAAATAGAGAAACTAAAGCACAGACAGATGAGGTGATCGGTGTCACAGAGGACAAAACAAAGGTTGCTAATTGCACACTTTGGCATCTAATTCCACAAAGAACACAAATGTGTTTCAATGATCTAGTGAACCTACCTTATCTGTAATTGTTGCTATGTATCGCATGCATTCAATATCAGAAGGGAACTGATTGACTTCCTTCACCAAATACTGAACAACTTTCACATGACCCTGTGAGAAGTACAACAAAAAATGCACAGAAGAATTCCTTGAAAATTTGCTCATATGCTTAAAAACCTAAGAGTAAAAGGTATAAAGATACTTCCAGATCATTTACTAAACTTAAAAATGAAATTATGAAAATAAAAACAACATGCCCAGGTATTTCTCCTAAATTTAACCTAGCATCTCCCATTGAAAATAGAAAAACTTTTGTAGAAAACAAGTGTTTCCTAGAATAAATGTATTAATAAAAATTGGCAGTGTGAAATGAACCTTTATTTAAAAAGGAAATAGGTTCGGGGCACCTGGGTGGCGCAGTCGGTTAAGCGTCCGACTTCAGCCAGGTCACGATCTCGCGGTCCGTGAGTTCGAGCCCCGCGTCAGGCTCTGGGTTGATGGCTCAGAGCCTGGAGCCTGTTTCCGATTCTGTGTCTCCCTCTCTCTCTGCCCCTCCCCCATTCATGCTCTGTCTCTCTCTGTCCCAAAAATAAATAAACGTTGAAAAAAAAAAATTTAAAAAGGAAATAGGTCCTAAAACAGAGAGATGTTCTACTTTGCAAAATATTATTTTGGGTCCATCTTAGTTAAACAAGGTAGATTCTCACAATTATCTGAGACCCAGGACTTGAATCTAGAGAAAATGTTTTCTAAATGCTATGATCAGAGGTGAATGATCTATAATTAATTCTAAGTATCATCTACCTCAATATAACCAAACTTGCATAGTTTTCCTTCCTACCAAGTTCTAAAACATCTTCCAGAATTAGTCTGATGGCGACAAAAATCAGAAAAGTCGTTGTCTCTAGGGCAGGAAATTCACTGAGAATGGGCATGATGGAACTTTCTAGGATTACAGAAGTATTTTATGAATTTATGGGGTGTGGGTTACCCAGATGTATACAGTTATCAAAACTCATTAAACTATGCACCTTTGGTGTGCATATTTCACTATATGTAAATGATGCCTCAATTAAAAGGAAAGGGCAAAAACTTAAAGAATTAAGTCTAGAAAATATTTTAATATTAAAAAAATATATAATTTATTATCAATTTGGTTTCCATACAACACCCAGTGCTCATCCCAACAAGTGCCCTCCCCAGTGCCCATTACCCACTTTCCCCTCTCCCCCACCCTTAAGATTTTTTTTAGAAGATTTTATTTTTTAAGTAATCTCTACACCAAACATGGAGCTCAAAC